ACGTGGTGTGTTTATGTGAAGAAGGAGTTTTGTGTTTTTTAATTGTATTTATGGTGTTTCTTTGTTCCTGAGGTCGTATTTGTAAGGGATTATTATTATTATTATTATTCCGCCTAAATACAGTTCTCAGAAGGGGTTCATATCATAATCCAGCTAGCCACAGACGAGCGTGAGGTGCTCACATTTCCGAAGCCGCCACAGCGCCATACCCCAACTGGCCAGAGGTAACTCCCTTCATTCCCACAGATAATGACTGGGCGATTGCCAGTTGGATGGTGGATGTGGCGAGTGTGACCTGGGCCACCTAGGCGGTGAAATCGTCCTCAACAGGTTGGGCGCCAAATAATAATGCTGCGACCTGTTAATTTCGGGTCACATACAAAACACCTCAAACGAAACTAGCTCTTTAATGAAATTTCTCTCAGTACACATCTGCACTACGGCATAATAAAAAAAATCAATTATGACTTTAAATTCCTGATTCCAAGCAAACAATGATCAAGAGCAAATTCCTTAAACTCGAAAAAAGTCATTGACAAAATTTTGCAAGCAGTTGAATTGAATTTTGGGCGCGGATCAACAAAATTAATCGTAATTGCTCATGAGGTTTATCTCTGAATCGTTAAAGGGATCGATTAAACACACGATTTTCATGATTTTACTTAATTCTGCGACCACAAATGACATTAAACATAATTTCGAACGGAAAAAATGCACTTAGTTGATACGTACGGCTTATTGAAATGAATAGAACAATAGACACTAATAACCTAGAAGTCAGAGTTAATGTTAGTTGAGAATTGCTGACTTCTAGGTGATTAATGTCTATTGTTCTATTCACTACGATGTTTGCCTTACCGATGCAAATCCAATAATACTATTTCTGTCAAATCGACAATTATAAGACTACTCGGCTGCAAATGATGCTACTACTACTCTACCCTCTCCTGTTAGCACTTCAAGAAACGGTACCTAATGCTGTATATCGTATGTCTCGGTACGTCTGTCCCTTGACATACGCTGCTTGCCCAAAGCAGACAAGTATACCCAAATTTGCCAATTATGTATAAGCACAACATTGACTTCACTGTGTTTCATTTTTGGGAAGTATACAATGCTACTTGTCCCGTCCGTGCAATTGTGACGTCTTTTAGCAGTGGCATCAATTTGAAATGGCTGCAAACAACACATAAGGCCTATTTTTGTGAAATATGTGATGTACAACATCCCCTGCAGGTTAATTGTTGGTAAATGGTGGAATGCAAGGCAGTTTCATAGGCCTAGTCATAAAATTAAATGCTATCTGAATATGGCGTGCGTTAATCACTATTCTTAATTACCACAATGCATTAGTACGGAAATCATAAAAGAAGTTCCTCTTTTCTACTTACATTTAAATAATACAATAAATCAAAATATGTGATACACTAATTAAATAAATTACTTTATTAATTAACCGCTTGAGAATGTTCAAGATCAACATTTCGCTCGAGAACAATACAATTAGAAAAAGGTTTGTCAAAGAGCTGCGACCTAGAAGCAAAAACAATCACAACCCACTGAGCTTAAATAAATAATGCAACATTTAACACCGTAACTTTTTTTAATGCGATGCATCCTTTAACTTTAAATATAAAACTTATATCTACTTACCTCTCGAAAAAGGCATGTTTTCAACAAATGTGTTCTAAGGTAATTAAGTATATTGGCTTCTTTAGTCTTTTAATATTTATTGTCGTATTAATTGTCTTCTACTTGTCCATTCCCTTGATGAAACGTCCTTCTTTCCTGATGTACCTGGCTTTTGCATTCAATTACTTAACTAATTGCAAAATATGTATACGTCAATTATGTCACTATGATTTAATATGATACTCCACTAGGTTATTCGTGTATTTTCCGAAGTACCTATTTTCGTTTTTATGTTGAATATATGTTAATAAATGGTTTTGTATGAGCGCTCCTGTTTATGTAATTCCGAGATGAGATTGTCACTTTGCAGAATAAACGGTGCCCCAAACATACAGAAGATAGCAAGCTAGCTCTTCGGCTGTTTCAGCGGTTTAGGCGTTTAGGGATTGTAAATTAAATCAGATGATTTGATACTTAAAAACAAAGCGGCACCTACTTCCTATCATCATGTTCGGTTTGCATGATGACTAAAGTGAGCAGTTTCAGTGATATCAAATAAATCTTTCTGTTTCCACTGCATGATAAATTAATTTTTCTTGGTCACTAATCGTTATAATGCCGAACCTTTTTAATCTCCTATATTGCTCAGATGACAAACGCAATTTATTTTCTCTCAAACGCTTTGCTTCCTACAATTTATATAAAATTTAATTACACCGCTCGGGAGTAAAGTAATCACATCTTTCGTTACTATTTTCGACAATAGATATGATAACTTTGCGTTAAAAATTGTCTTCCATTGTCATATTTTTAGTATTGACAATAAGCGCCTATTATAGTCATCATAAATACTGCTCTACTTAAAATCAAACTAATAACTGAATTACACGATACATTACACTAAGGAATCAAGTTAAAACTTGAAAAATTCGGTGTTCGGCTGATTGAAAGTTTTAAACCATCCAATTCGCATTGTGGGCGCTTCTAAAATGACCACAACACGTTGTTCGCGACCATAAAACGGAAAAGTATTTAATTTCGGTGTTTATGTTATTTACCTTCGCCCACAGCCCGTTGTGGGCGTTATTTTCGCTCATTGAGCGTTTTCGATATTTGTGCGTAACACATAGGTACAGTCTCTTGTAAAAGTAATGTCCCTCGGATACCTACCACTGTAGCATAGGCAACCAACATCCCAGCCGACTAGTTCAAGTTGGATTTGCGGGTGTGGGAGGTAGGTAGGTATCTAATGCGGTTCGTTTTCAGCAGGTATTCCCACTTTGCCAAACTAAAAATAAGTTAGTAGAATGAAAATGAATGGCATTTATTAGCTCAAAAGATCTGCGCTGCTTTAATCTATCCTTGGTTTAATACAATAGAAATTTTTACATTTCTTTCAATTGGTTTGGTGCGTTTTAAATTTGGAAATAGTTTAGCTAAAATAATGACCTTTTACTTTTAATTTTTTCGAGTAGATTTTCTTCTAACAAAATAAATGTGATGATTTTATCGTTTTATACTGACATTGAAATTGATGTCTCATTATTAATTACTCGGGCCTCCTAATGGAATGCGATTATCTGCACTGGAAGCGCGACAATGCCGTTCCTTTTGTAACTACCACCTCCCACTTCTTTCAAACCCCGGGATGACACCCGCGGAAAAATTCAGCTGTTTTAATTATTTTTCCCTAATTTCTAATCATTTCACCTGCATGAAAAAGCCGGTTTAACTGGTAACTAATTTTTTTGTCAAAAAATATACCTATAACCTGGACTAAATATCCTTATAATATGCCTACCTACTCAAAAATATGCAACGTAAAAGCTCTCCTAAACCACAGATTTATTTAAATCTGTGCCTA